GTTTTTGACAGAATTATGCCCCTTTTTGACTTAGAAAATACATTGAATATGGGTAAAATCCACTTATTGCCTTAACCCTTTGAGATATTGCTTTGAAACTTTTAATGCTATTTCACATCATTACCCCCATCTGTACGCAAGAGAAGGTAACTCTGTCAAGGATTTGTTTTAAAAATTAAGGCCTTTTATCGACTTAGAATCTTGGTTAAGTTTTTAGTACCAGTCCACTTTTTGACTGAACTGTTTGAGATATTAATTTGAAAGTTGGAATACTTGTTTACAATCATGATTCCCAAACATGTCCAGGAGAAGGTAATTCTGTCAAAGATTTTATTTGAATTATGGCCCTTAACTGTCAATGTTTTGTATTATAGGCAAGCACTAAAAACTTAAAAAATCTAAAAAAATTCATTCCTATCCACTTGTTCACTTTACCATAAATTATGTCATAATAAAATAATTCTTCACTAAATATCTTAATGCTCATGGCCATTGTTCACTTTAAAAATACAGAGATTCTTGTATTGCCTTTTACTGCAAAAACTTTTTTTATTGGCAAGCAATAAAAAAGTCGAGCGCGCTGTCTTACGGACAGCTCTTGTTACATACCTTCTTTAAAATGAAGAAAGTCAATAAATCAGTCAATGTTACTTATTGAGGGGGTACTTTTACTGTTTGTAGGACATTACTAATTGCGGGGGTAATTTATCTGTTTGTAGGACATTACTAATTGAGGGGGTACTTTAACTGTTTATAGGACATTACTAATTGAGGGGGGTACTTTAACTGTTTGTAGGACATTACTAATTGAGGGGGGTACTTTAACTGTTTGTAGGACATTACTAATTGAGGGGGTACTTTAACTGTTTGTAGGACATTACTAATTGAGGGGGGTTTAATAACTTTATCTGTTTGTATGACATTACTAATTGAGGGGGTACTTTAACTGTTTGTAGGACATTACTAATTGAGGGGGGTACTTTAACTGTTTGTAGGACATTACTGATTGAGGGGGTACTTTAACTGTTTGTAGGACATTACAAATTGATGGGATACTTTAACTGTTTGTATGACATTACAAATTGAGGGGGTACTTTAACTGTTTGTATGACATTACAAATTGAGGGGTACTTTAACTGTTTGTAGGACATTACTAATTGAGGGGGTACTTTAACTGTTTGTAGGACATTACAAATTGAGGGGGTACTTTAACTGTTTGTAGGACATTACTAATTGAGGGGGTACTGTAACTGTTTGTAGGACATTTCTAATTGAGGGGTCAGCCAACAGTATAGAGCCTGGTCATATGCAGGGATGTGCTGGCTGGCCTTGCTCTATACTGGGGGCAAAGGCTGAAAGCTTTCAGCTCCAGCACTTTAAGAGTTAATTAAGTCAGCTATACATTACAAGAGGTTTATTCTTTAGTACATCTGTCTTACCAGTTACAATAAAGAGACTGGCTGTGAAACATTTTAATGACCATGTAACTTGGTTTTCATTGGTCAGTATGGACCAGTTAACTGTCAGATGAAAATGTTTTATTGGTTGTAAAATTGTCCCTTTGAAATGAATTAGGGGCTTTTAGTGGATTGACCACATACTGGTTTTAGTGTTTCAACTGATGGACATGCATAATAAATGTGTTATTTCTTTCAAACTGGGAAATAAATGATTTATGTGAAATGATGTTAGCTTTTGATTGAAAAAAGTGGAATTTGGCACTTTGATAGTTATGCATAATGTGAGTATGTATTTATAACGGAGGTATTCAAGAACCTTCAGGTATTTATGTTAAGATATCCCAATTATGTAAGATAGGTGCTTCACTTTTTAGAAATTTTATACACTCAACACAGTGTTACTAATATATATTTATGACTGTTTTCTTTGAAAATTTAGATCAAATTATATTAGCTCAATAGATTATTATTTGAATAATTTATAATGGTTTAAATTTTATAGTAAAAGTTTTTAAGAGTTTCTAAGTGTTATAAGATATAAAAATTAAAGACCTGCATTTTTGTTTTAATATTTGATTTTCAAAAAATGATATTTTTCTGTAAAATTTGTAAAAAAAAGATTATTATTTCAAATATAATACAACTAATAAGCAAATATATTTCAACTGACAGAAAACAATAAAGATGGTAATTCTGTATAAAATTAAAGATCTATTACCATTAAACTTTGGCTTCTCTCCATGATAAAATAACCAACTTTTCTTGAAAATGTAACAATTTAATTAGTTGAAATATAACAAAATAATAAATATGAAATTCCAAACTGGCACGGAAAGAGATTGAACATTTAGCTTATCACAATTGAAATTTTCTTCTAGTTAACTAAACAAAGAATTCATCGTATGATGAAAGAACGTATATTTCATCATTTAATTCAGCAGCTGGGAGAAAACTATTTGGCAGAAGTCGTCAATTAAAACTCTTACTTTAGAGCATCAATAACGGACTTTAGACAACCTCCGGATATTTCCTATGACAAGTTTGTTTAACCTCGTAAAATAATCTCATATTTTGATTGGATAAGAGGCCGGTTTTTTTATTCCGTGGAAATGAACTACAGCGGAATAAATACAATCCGCAGAATAAATACAATTGCAGATTACGAGAGTCTTATACGAAAAAAAAAATCATCGGAGCAGGGAAGATGGATGATTGTCTTATTATATTATGAATCCATTTTTTTCTCCCCAGAAAAACTTTCTTTATTGATATTGATAAAAAAATGACAGAATATAGAAATTTGGAGGAAGATAATGAAGTTATGTGTCACTTGGCTTAGAAGAGACTTTACACATACAGTAAAATTACTCCTATTTTGACCATGATCACAATATTATTCTGAAGTTACAGCTTTTTGTATCAAATAAACATTCTCTGAAAGGGCAAATAAAAAGGGGGGGGGGGGGGGGAGAATTACGTGAAAATAAATTGATGAAACATAATATATAATTTAAATGCGGAAAACTGTCAGATGCAGTTATATGTTATTGAAGTAAAAGTTATGTAGATTGATAATGTATATTATACCCTGTTTTATCTATGTCCTTGAGGAAGATATTCAAGTTAAAATATTGTCAGTAAGGTTGTTAGACACAGCTCAGACCTCATGTCCTCATGTTTGCACATCCCTTGTTTCAGCAGTATCTTTGTGTCAGCAGTGCCCTGGTGTTAGTAGTGCCCTTGTGTTAGCAATGCTCTTGTGTCAGCAGTGCCCTCATGTTAGCATTGCCCTTGTGTCAGCAGTGCCCTCGTGTTAGCAGTGCCCTCATGTCACCAGTGCCCTTGTGTTAGCAGTGCCTTCGTGCCAGCAGTGCCCTCATGTTAGCAGTGCCTTTGTGTCAGCAGTGCCCTTGTGTTAGCACTGCCCTTGTGTCCAGCAATGCTCTTGTGGTCAGCAGTGCCCTCGTGTTAGCACAATCCCTTTGTGTCAGTATTGTCCTCATGTATCACTGCCTTGTGTTAGCTGTGCCTTCGTGTCAGCAGAGCCCTCGAGTCAGCAGTGCCCTCATGAAAGCATTGCCCTTGTGTCAGCAGTGCCGTCATGTTAGCACAGCATTTGTGCCAGCAGTGCCTTATGTTAGCACTGCCCTTGTGTCAGCAGTGCCCTCATGTTAGCACTGCATTCCTGTCAGCAGTGCCCTCATGTTGGCACTGTCCTTGTGTCAGCAGTGCCCTTGTGTCAGCAGTGCCCTCATGTCAGCAGTGCCCTCATGTTAGCAGTGTCTTTGTGTCAGCAGTGCCCTTGTGTCAGCAATGCTCTTTTGTCAGCAGTGCCCTTGTGTCAGCAGTGCACCCTCGTGTTAGCACATCCCTTTGTGTCAGTATTGTCCTCAGGTTATCACTGCCCTTGTGTTAGCTGTGCCTTCGTGTCACCAGAGCCCTCGAGTCAGCAGTGCCCTCATGAAAGCATTGCCCTTGTGTCAGCAGTGCCGTCATGTTAGCACAGCCTTTGTGCCAGCAGTGCCCTTATGTTAGCACTGCCCTTGTGTCAGCAGTGCCCTCATGTTAGCACTGCATTCCTGTCAGCAGTACCCTTATGTTGGCTCTGTCCTTGTGTCAGCAGTGCCCTCATGTCAGCAGTGCCCTTATGTCAGCAGTGCCCTAGTGTCAGCAGTGCCCTCATATTAGCATTGCCCTTGTTTCATCAGTGCCCCCATTTTAGCTTTGTCCTTGTGTCAGAAGTACCCTTGTATCAGCAGTACTCTCTTGCCAACAGTGCCCTCATTTCAGCAGTACCCTCATGTTAGCACAGCCCTTGTGTCAGCAGTGCCCTCTTGCCAGCAGTGCCCTCGTGTCAGCAGTGGCCTCGTGTCAGCAGTGCACCTTTGTAAGCAGTGCCCTCTTGTCAGCAGTGCTGTATTGTGTCAGCAGTGCCCTCATGTCAGCCAGCCCTTGTGTTATCTTGGCCCAGTCTAATGTTAATATAACATTTATATAGTATTCTAACCTGAATTGGGGTTGGTATTGGACCCAGTTGACCCTAGACATAAGATTCATAGTAATAAGCTTAGTAGTTAACTTTTTACTCATTCATTTTAGTTTGAATTTTAACTGAATAATTTAAAAATGTGTTTTCAAAAAATGATACTTAAATGACGTCAAAAAATTAAAAAGCCATTAACCAGTATCTTTAAATCTTCTAATAACGCTATACATGTTTGCACTGAATATTTTCCAAGCAGATACGTTGGTTGCTTTTTTTTTTTCCAGTTTTTTCACAATTCCTTGCATTCATATTAATATAGAGATAGTCAGAATCTGTATTTTTCTGAGTGATATTTTTTTAACGTGAGCTTTAATTTAGACTCTTAAGTGGATAGCGTAGGACAAGCTCTCCCTCACAATGGCACCAAAGTCATCAAATATTAAAGTCTTCCTTATTTCTAATGTTGCTCACATTTTTTTTAATATGCATATTATATTGGTTTGTTTCTTTTGATGCGGAAATTGAGCAAGTGTCATTTTGTTGTGTATTTTCAGATGTTACGGTCAACAAGGGTTTGAGAAATGACGTGAACGTTTGATGTCGCAGATATTGATAATAATGTTAAATGGTATTTTAGTATTTTATGGTACACATTGGTAATATGTAAGTCATTGCATGAACTAGAGAGAAAATGAACAAAAGTAGATTATGATTGTAATGTAAATTATTGTTTTAAAATAATCGTCATTAAAGTTAAAAGGACAATTTTAATACTAAAATGTCAATGTTTGTGAATAATAATAGTCTTGAGACTGCCTTCAGACATGTTGCTTGGTTAGTTGTGTAAATGCATGTGTTACGTCAGGAAAGGATGTCAGTGTCACGTATCCATTTTAGTTTTCTTGAATTGTATAAAATTAAAACTATTTGTTTTATTTTGTTTACCATCCAAATACCAGTAGATAAACAGGTGTAGAAATTCAGGTGTCTATCTAAGAAGTTAACAACTTGATTGAGGAAGGTTTTGTGTTTGATTTCTGGCCAGGTCATTTCAAAGACCATTGTTATTAATGGTCTCATCACAGGCAGCCAATAGTTGATCGACCACCAAAACAGACAAAATTGGCATAAAAACAAAACGGAAAAACAGATATGTTGTCATATGGTGGCCAGCAACAACAGGATTGTTCTAAATTCTTTGACCCCCTCTGTCTGATATCAGTGTCAGTTGGCAGGATTGTCATCTTGATAGGACTACAAAAAAGCATCGTAAGGCCAATTTTTTTTTATATTTTGGTTTACTGATTTTTTCCAAAAAAAGGTAAGGGGTCGGCGGCGGCAAAAAAAAAAAAAAAAAAAAAAAAGTTTCATAACTATAAATGGTGGTGCCATACATATACATAGTACTTACTAGAGCAATGAAATTAATACATCGCCGATTGTCTATTCCAAAAGATTGTTTTAAATACAAAAAAAAAACTTTTGCTCATATTGCCATTGTTTAAAAAAAACACACATGAAATCTACCAACACGATGACTTTTTTGACAAGTTGGCAAGCGAGCTCTTCAAAAGAATCTGTCATTCTTTGATGTTTACACACTGCCTGTGTAATCTGAATCATCAAAGGTGCCGAAAATCAGCTGACTTGCACTCATTTCTTTATAGATCAGATGTTAAAAAAAAAGTTGTCAAAAAGAGTACACAAAGTCATGTTCAATTTTGCCCATTGTGAAAATATTTTTATCGATAAAAAGCAGGTCAATTTTTGACAAAAAATCTATTAAAAGTAAGTGCGGCATTTTTTTTATTTTGTTTTTTGAAACCCTGTATTCAATCTGCTTTTAAAGACTAATTTTTTTTTTGTTAAATCTGAAAATACTGATCTTGTCAATTGCAGCAGATTTCTCTCGCTCTGTCCTTGAATGTAATTGCTTACGTAATTTGGCGTGGGTTTTTTTTTTGTGTGTGTTCGTTTTTTTTTTTTTACATTTTTACGCATTTCGACCTTCAATGCAGTTGATGAAATATGATCAAAGCCTAATTTATAATTCTGTGAGAATGGCTTGACCCCATTTAACAGACATTCTTTCATAATACACCAATAAACACTTTCCCCAACTTAGCAGACGACAGGGGAAAAAAGAGTCAACTCGGCCCTATACCAACTCGGCACGGGTCAACTCGGCACGGGTCAACTCGGCCCACTTTACAAAAATATATAGGCCTATAACGTATTTACTTTGCTTTGCATGTTGTTAAGGTAAATGATTAATAAGAAATATCTTATTATTATTATATAATTATACATTGTACCTCTGCTTGAAAAAAAGTACATTTAGAAAAAAAAAGTAATTTATTTGTCTTTTGCAGATTCGATAAAATTAATATAGACACAGGCACGATTATCGAACCTGGGAAAATATGAAAAGATTGATTAAAATAACTTCATATTTTTTCTTCCCAGGTCCGAATACTTGTGCCTGTGAATATAGATATAATAAAAATGTGTTTCCTTAGATGCATTTTGTTTGTTAAAGTAATTTTCAAAAAAATATGAAACAAAAACGTGTTTACTTAATAGCATAAGCTTCTAATTAATTGCAGGTGGTTCACTAATCAAATTTGAATGAATAAGTCAATCATAATTATCACCTAAAAAATCGGTATATTTAACATACACATTGATTGAGATAATAATAGCCCGTGACAATAGGAGTCCTTTGATGTCCTTTACCCATTTTTTAGTGGGCCGAGTTGACCCGTGCCGAGTTGGAATAGGGCCGAGCTGACTCGGGGGCCGAGTATGTTTTAGGGCCGAGCTGACCCGGATTCGACGACAGGCTATTCTCGAGTAAAGATAACCGGTTGCGTATCTCATTGTATAAATCGTATGTAAAATAGTCTGGCATATGGTAGGTTTAACAGTTAATTAAAATACTTACCGCGACATTTCTTTGACAAGTCGTTATTAGCAGCGTATTTCAAGACAACACAGAATTTTTTTGGGGGCAGATTTTTTTTTTTTTTTTTTCATTTTCCCAAAATACAGAGTCGGCGGGTCAGTACACCGAATATCAAAAAATAATGGCCTAATTTAAAGTTGGGCATAGTGATACATAGTATAGGTCATAATTTTGCAACTTTCCAGCTTCAGTGGTGGAGGAAAACCTCATTTCTCCATCTGTGCATAGGCAATGTGTAGAACCATTGTCATTCTGCAAGCTAGCTGGATAGCTTCCTTACATGAAAGAATCGAAAGTCCTTGTTGGGATTCGATCCAATAGTGAAGAGGGCATTTAGTACCTTGAAGTCAACGACCTTTACCACTAAAATCCTGATTATTCATTATAAAGAATTTTTGTTGAGGTGGTCTTTTGACACAGTGTTTACTGTAGCTTTACGCTAATATCCTGACAACAAAACATTACAATTATATTGATTTAACTATTGTAATAGGTGGGTAATTCATGCGGGGAGAATAGAGATTTTATGTTGGCAATTGCATGACAATCATTTTAATTGAAAACCATTACCTCGGAAACTTTTGACAAGAACTATTGCATTCATAGAAATTAAGTATATTTCATTTAATTCTTGTTAAAACATGCATACAGTATAGTTTATGTAAAACCTAACATGCCATATGCTTCCATTTAAAACGTGCCTCTCCCCAAAAAATGGTGTCCCTTAAAAAGATTAAAATCTTGTCGTCAAATTAAAATATGTTGTTTTGGTAAAAAGTTTTTTTTTCCATCTCACCTTTTTTGTTCCTAATAAAAATATTTCTTTAGTTGCACCAAAATACAATATCCTTAAATTAATGTTGAACATCCTTTATTTAATGCATTTTTTATACCCTATCAGTTTTATGTTTTTTAAAGCAAAATTTCAGGAAACTGCGTTTGGGGAAATTTAAAAGGGAAAAATTTCTTTCAAATTAAATTTTGCAAAAAACCCCGGGTTTTAAAGTGTCTGGGTTTAAATTTTCATATTATTTAAATGCTGTTTATAAATTGACTTAATATTTTTGTTTGTTTCCCTGGCTTTTCAATATATGATACAAAGTTCTAAATGTCTGTCAGAGTCAACCCACAATGGCGGCCATTTTTGTGTCGCCTCTACGGAGTAGTGGCGACATATAGGGATCACTTCTTCGTCGTCTGTCTGTCCGTCTGTCCGTCCGTCCGTCCGTCACAAAACTTGTCCGGACTACTCCTCATAAACTACTGGTGCAATTTCATTTACAGGAATGATCAGTACCAAGTCTAGTTGTGCATATTGTCAGCATTTTCCGGTTCAATGATTTTTGTCAGAGTTATGGCCCTTTAATAATTTCTAATTTTAAAGTTTGTCCGGACTACTTCTCTTATACCACTAATGCAATTTAAATGAAACTTTACAGGATTGATCTGTAGTTCAAGTCCTTGCGCATATTGCAGGGGTTTTCCGGTTGAATGATTTTTGGCCGAGTTATGGCCCTTTGATAAAAAGGTGTTTTTTTCTGTGTGTTGCCAGATACACAAAAGCTTGTCCGGACTACTCCTCATAAAACTACTGGTGCAATTTCATCCAAACTTTACAGGAATGATCAGTACCGAGTCTAGTTGTGCATATTGTCAGCATTTTCTGGTTCAATGATTTTTTGTCAGAGTTATGGCCCTTTAATAATTTTTAATTTTAAAGTTTGTCCGGACTACTTCTCTTATACCACTAATGCAATTTCAATGAAACTTTACAGGATTGATCTGTAGCTCAAGTCTTTGCGCATATTGCACGGGTTTTCTGGTTGAATGATTTTTGGCCGAGTTATGGCCCTTTGATAAAAAAGGTGTTTTTTTCTGTGTGTTGACAGATACGCAAAAGCTTGTCCGGACTACTCCTCATAAACTACTGGTGCAATTTTATCCAAACTTTTCAGGAATGATCAGTACCAAGTCTAGTTGTGCACTGTCCATCTGTCTGTCCGTCTGTCACAAAATTTGTCCCAACATGAAATTGGCCATCATGAGGCGACAGGTGATTACTGATCGCTCTTGTGATTCCTCGGTCCTTGAGACGAGTCATGTCGATAAACATGCATCTTGAAACTGATTGGTCAATATTTACAATATTTATTTTGGATTTTTTATATTTTGGTAAAATTACTTCAGCGGTTTATATCAGAAGAAAATGATGACATTATAATACTAGGCTATGATATTAAAAATGATAAATTGTTTTAAGATAACATAAAGGTTCGATAGATATCAGTTGAAAATCTCTAGGGAGTTGAAAAGTTAACCTTCAAAAACAGCTTGGTGCAGTTAAAGATGTCTTAAAACGTGTTTGGTATATTGTGTTTAAGTCATCGGATAAACATGACATTGATAGAAAAGAAGGGATTATGACAATAACAACAAATCACCAAGAAATTGACTTTAATACGACCTCCATCTGTTTTCTTGTAATCTTCTTTAATCTGTTTAAATACTACGATATTTTCAAATGTCATCGAGTTATTTGTAGTGTTATAAACGAGGTATCAAGGAATGCATTTTTTTCTTCTTTCTTTAACTTGTCTAAAATAAAATTTCATCGAAATGAACGATGAAATGAATGAAATGATGAATGATGGAAAAAAAAATTCTTCTCAGTAAAATGACTGGAAAAGCAAAACTTTATGAA